AATTGCAGGAATAATCAGGGAATCCTGGAATGGTTTGGGTTGGAAGAGACCTTAAAGACCACCCAGTTTCACCCCCCTGCCGTGGGCAGGGACACCTTCCACTAGAGCAAGTTGCTCCAAGCCCTGTCCAGCCTGGCCTTGGACACTTCCAGGGATGGGAAGCTCCTCTGGGCAAACTGAGCCCAGCTCTCCGTACAGTGAGAAATACAAAAATATGAAATCAGCTTCTGGCTGCTGTGAAAATTCACCCAGCAATGGGAGCTGCAGAACAAACCGATTTCAGACAAAGAGCTGCTGGAAATACACACAAATACTGAATGGTGTTGGAAGGCACCAACCCAAACCCACCCTCCTGCAGCAGATCCCCATCCTGACCCCACACACATCACAATGCTCATGGCAAAGGAGAGACTGAACGCTCTGCCCGGTGCCAGAGTCCCTTCCCTCCAACATCCAGGGCTAATTTAGTGTACAAAGACACACTGAAATTAATTTATTTCTATTTCTTTCTTCTGGCCTAAGCAGCTCCCCTCCCACTTTTTCCAGACTGATCCATCAGAAAATGAGCCCTGCTAATGCTCCATGCCAACCGCTGAGATAAAAGCCAGCCCTTGGCTTCCAGGAGGCTCCAGGTTGCTCCAGCCCTTCCAAGGGAGGCACTGGCTGTGATGAAGCACCACTTCAAGGGCAGGGATGTGGGCACCTGCTGGGAACTGGAGCATCGCCCCAAGGACAGGGATTTGGGGGCCCACTGGGGACCGGCAGATGCTCAGGGCATCCACTGCCCCCTCCCCTGAGCACATGGAGAGCCAGGACCAGTCTTGGTGAACCCAAACCATGGTCACTGTTCCTCTGCATGGCAGGAACACAGCTCCCATCCTCCTGCAAAGTTCAGCTTGCTGCACGAGGCACAGGCAGCTACCCAGGGCCGATGGAAGGTGCACACACAAACACAACAAAATCTCACGATAAAAAAAAATGTTATACACTGTTGATTCCACCCCCTGAGTAGCACAGGGCTGAGTGTAATCAAGAGTCCTTAAGCTCAGGGCCACCAGTGGCAGGTTTTATTGACGGCACAGCAGCCGTCCCGGCGGGCACATTAACTGCGGCACGGCCAAGGCTGGAGCCCAGAGCGCGGAGCCTCCCGAGGGCACTGCGGCGGGGAGCAGCAGAAACCCCTGGGCACACCGGTGGGAACGGGTGGACATCAGAGCTGAACCTTCAGAGGAGACAATGCCTGTGTCGGCTGCCTGCTCTGGGAGCCCGGAGCTTGCCGAAGCACCCGGACGGGCTCCCTCCTGCTCCTCCTCTTCCAGCAGCACCCAAGCTCGGCGCCAGGAGGATGCTGGTTTGCTCCTGCCAGGAGGATGCTGGTTTGCTCCCCCTCCCCGGGGCAGCGAGTGAGGAGCGACACCTCAACACACCTCGGAGAACGAGAAGAGAAGCCACCCTGCTCTGAACTCCACCAGAACGTGCTTCCCACTGGTTTCATCCCCCCGATTAACACAGAAACCATCCCCCCTGCTAATGCAAAGAAGCTCATTAGCACCTTTTCCCAGGGAAAAAAGGCTCTCATCCTTAATTTTTTTTCTTTTATGTTCTTCTCCTTTCAGGTCCAATTAGTACAAAAATCTTCACCTGCCCGCCCCTGCAAAGCCCGGGGCTGTGAGCAGCGGGCTGGGCAGCCCAAGGGAGCCCGGATGTCATCGGGGACAGGGACACGGTGGGCTCCACGAGGCCCTTTGGCTTCTCTGCTTTGGCAAGACCTTCCTCCTGTTACTCAGCTGTCACGACAGGACAGAAGTCCCACTGGCTGCTCAGCTTGGATTTCTGTTGAGGTTTCTGCAGCGTTGCCAAAATTACAGCAAGAGGCAGCTCCTTCCGTGGCGCTGAGAAAAAGGGGATTCACACCCCTGAGGGCTAAACCTGCTCTTTTCCAGGAGCCCCTTCTCCATGGAATCTGAACATATGAAGGCAGGAAAGCACTCATGACCAGCCCAGAGAGCTGCTGTGCCCTCACTGGTGGGGATATGTGGGCACAGCTCATGGAAAGGAATAACTTATCTAGTAATGGCTGGAACCCCTGAAGGTGACAACTGAGACCCAGACACCAGAGACAGGGAGGGGTTTGCCCCCCACCCCAGGGTTTTCTCCTCAGGGGGAAACAATGCAGTAACTCCAACGATGTTTCTGTCACTCCAAGTGAACCCTGCTCAGGACCCCTCACCCCACAGCATGGGGGGGGGGGTCACCCCAGCAGTGCACCCCCAGCCAAATCCTCTGCTGTGGATACCCTGGCATTGTCCTGGCTGAATGCTGAGGGCTGGAATTTTCTCAAGGAGCTAAAGATGCTCCCCCTTTCACTGGAAAGAATGCTGAGGACTTGACACCCCCAAAGCTTGAAGCCAACAGGTGCCATTTTGATGCCTTTTTTAATACTACAATCATCTTTATTTGCCCAGCATCAGTGGTTTGTTTTCCAAATAGATCAACATCCTTCTTTGTTTAAGAGATGATGATAAACAAACACAATGCAGGAGGCTCTCCCTCACATCAAACAGTAGGAGGGAACAAACCTCGGGGGCCATTAGGAATCATAATGCCAGATTAATTTTAAATGGATTTCTATTAATTTACATACACTCAGGCCTATGTCATCCATTAGCTTTGTGTGCATCTAATGGTTTGACATCCTTGAAAATGAGCAGTGGATCCTGGACCCCCTGGGACCAGGGGGTGGATTGGGAGAGGAGGCAGAGAGCGGCTGGGCGGGCACAGGGGCTGTTCATCCCATCCCAGGGAGCCTGCAAGGACCAAGTGGCAAGAAGAAGAGTGGAGATGGCCCAAAAACAATGTCAGGAGTTGGGCAGCTCTGTCCCCATGGTTTCCCCAGCTGGGATGGGATCCAGGGTCCCGGCAGGTCCCGGCTCCCGCAGCCAAACAAGGTCACACGTGCGCAGGAGCGCAGCTGCCACACGCGCTGGCCTTGGGGAGGTCCCACAAACCCTGCCAAACACCCCTAAAGCACCAAAATAAACGCTCTGTGCTCGTTCAGCACCTCCAACACCGGCTGAGAGAGCTCATCAAACCCCGGCAACGCCCTCCCACCCCAGCCCGCCTCGCCTAAAACAGCCTCACCCACTTCAGCCAGCAAAGCCTGAGCAAATCCGGGAATTTCGGAGAGAAGGAGCTGCCACGTGACAGTTTTCTTATTAGAAAGACACAAATTAAAACCAGCAGAAGCCTCCAGCATTGCCACCCTGGAGCATCATCTGCACCCTGGTGCCAACGGCGAGAGGGACAATTACACAGCACCTGCAAACAGGATTATCTTAATGGGAACAGAGATGCACATCAAAAAACTATTTCCATGGCCCCCAAAAATTATGAGTGCCTTAAAAGGATGATAATAATGAGTTTTAGGGCATACATATGATCTTCCCCACTGCATAATCTGCCCATTTCAGAGCAATGTAGCTCTAGCAGCTCTGTTAGAGAAGTAAATTAACCCTAATTTGATTGCTTCTCAGTAACAGTCGTTTCAGTGCTCTAATCAATAAGTCACAGGGTTTTACGACTGCCCTTGGTATATCAATCATTGCAATCAGTAATAAAACGCTTTTCATTTGAAGAACACCTGAAATACTGTGTAATTACCTTTGTATAAAATTACAGACTCCAATTTACCCATTTCACCTTCTGCAGCCGACAGCCTCGCTCGGCACCAAACATCATTTCCTTCCCAAAGGCTTTCTGAGCCGTCCCTCATCCCTTCCCCATGTCACTGCAGCAGCAAGTTATTACTCACACCCCACAAAACAGCAGGTTACAAGAGACACCCATCTCCCAGAAATCCTACAAGAAAGGGGAGAGATCCAAGATCCTGCTGGGAAAAGGCATCACCACCAGCCCTTCACTGCACCCACCACAAAAGCACCGAAACGGAGCCAAATCCATGGCACGGTGACGACGCAGCTGGTGCCTTGGGAGCAGGGCAGAGCACCTGCCCAGGAGCCTGTGGCACCAGCCAGACGTCTTGGGAGGTGACAAACTCGCAGTCTGCGGGGAGCAGACGGTCAGGGGACTGGTGAGGGCCGGGGAGCCCAGCCAGGTGTGCTGCTGCTCCGGGGGCAAGAGCTGCCTCGTGTGCCCTGCACAACTGCAGAACACCTCCTTTGATGCCACCTCTGTAAAGTCACTGTCCCCACTGCTCTGCTGGACCACCCCTGGGGTGGCAGCACCACACACACCAGGGGCAGCCACAAGGTACTGATGGGGAAACACGGCCAAGGGAAGGTTTCAAGGCCCCCAGCTGGCACTAAGGTGATCCTGCCTGGCCAGGGATGCTCTGGGCACACCAGGCCATTGCAGGGCATGACGTGTCTCCCCTTCTGCCCCTTCATCCTCCCCATTATCCCCTCAGGTTCCCACTGTCCTCACTGGAGCCATACAGCTCCGACACACTGACTGCAGGACTCTCCCAGCACTGGGATGCTCCGATCACTGCCAACAAAACAGACATCTCAGAGACCCCTCGGCACAACACACACCCCCAAGCCAGAGCGAGCAGGACACCTGGCACCAGACCCCCATGTCGGCACCCCAAAGCTGTGCTCAGGAGACATTTCCAGGGGATTCTGGTTCACGTCAGTTTTGGGTTTGTTGTTTCAAGAAAAAAAACCAAAACAAATAACTCTTATAAACACTGAAAACGACTTAGGGAAATATTTTCACTGGCAGATGTCAGGCCTCAGCAGTTCTTACAGGAATTATCCCCGGGATCCTGAGCAGAGGACACGCTCCCCCATCCCCGTGCAAAGCTGTAACAAAGAGACTGCTGTGCTGCCTCCACTGCCATCAGACCCCGAGGTGGAGCTGACACGGGTCAGGATGATGAGGTTTAAGTCCTTGGAGCAACATTTAGTTACTCCTCTGCAAAATCCATCCCTCACCTGCCAGACCCCAGGCAGGGCCTGAGAAGCACCCTGGGCACTTACCCTGAAGTCGATTCCCACCGTGGAGATGAAGCTGCCGGCCAGGAAGGCGCCGTCTTTGAACCGCACCAGCAGGCAGGTCTTGCCGACCCCGGAGTCGCCCACCAGCATCACCTGGGAGGAGGGAAGGGGGTTACACTCTGGGTTTTGGGAAGGAAGGCCCCTGCAGCCATTACCCAGCTCCATCCCAGGAGCAGGCAGCAGATCCCACATGCTTGAGGGGAACAAAGCCCATCCAGGAGTGATGGACCCAGGGGAGGGTGAGGGGAAAAGGGGGGACTCACAGCAGAATTATTCCCCATCCTGCACCACGTGTCCCTGAGCACTGGCTCGAGACACCTTATCCCAAGCTGTACTTAACAAGACCTTCATGGGGGCACAAACACCCCCTGAAAACCAAGAGGTGCCAGCTGGGTGGCACAAGCTGTAACCTGATGGCTGCAGGGCCCACGGGCTCCCAGAACACCCACAAAGCACCCCACCACTGTGGGGCTTTCTGGGAGGGTGGAACTGCCCATGGGGAGACTTCATGGGGTCCCCAACCATGAGTGCCAGCTCCAGGGTGCATCAGCCCTCTGCAAGCAACTTCCTTCCATAGGACCCACACATGCCCACAGCTGCCCCCCTGGTCCTCCGTGGATGCCAAGGGAGCAGCTCCTGGTGCCACCTGCCTCAGTTTCCCCACCCAGCAGCCACCCTGGAGGTGCAGGCAGGGCAGGCACTCCCTGCCACAAAGAGACCAGCACAGAGCTGAGCCTGCTCCCACATACAGCTCCCCAGAACCTCTGCCCCAACCAACAGCCCCTGCCCCCTGGGGCACGGAGCCCTCTCCCCTCAGCGGGATGACAGCTTCCCACCACTGAGAAATCTGGGACCGTGGAGCTGCCTGAGCTCCTTCTGCACTGGCCATGGCAGGTTCCCTCTCTCCCAAGGTGCTCCCATCAGCCTTCCGAGAGCCATCAGGCCATGACGGGATTTAAATGGTTTTGAGGCAGGGACTGCCCTGGGTCACACCAAACCCTCCCAGGAGCCACTCAAAGGGGCAAACGCCACCATGGCTCTGCCTGAGAGGTGGCAGCAGCCCCGGGTGCAGGTGTAGCTCGTTTTGGGGCAGGAGGGCTCTGCCCAGGAGGGCAGGATCCAGCCACAGTGCAGAGCCCCACGCTGGCATCCCACAGGAGCACCACACACCGAGCCCTGGCACAAGGGGGGAGGGCAGCCACGGGTGTATTGGTGCAAAGCCGAGGGAAGGGGGGGAAGTCAATTTTAGTACTAAATATTGGGGTTTTTTTAACTTTCCAGACCTCTCTCTGAAACAGGGGACCCTCAACAGCAGCTTCTCCCCTCTCAGCACCACCAGTGCCTCACCAGGCACACACAGTGCCCAGGGCCAGGGTGCAGCCCCGTGCACAGGACTTGCCTTTGGCCACTGCCTCGGGCACAGCTCAGGAGCCTCAGAAGAGGGGCAAGGGAAGGAGAAAGTTTAACAAACCAGGGTTTTACTGGATACAAAGCAATTTCTCTCTGCCACTGGTTCAAAATCAGCCAGACCATTAGCAGAGGTTTTGGCTAACTGGGGCATTTTGGGCTTCTCTGAGACCCACTTGGCTCATCCCTGTGCCATGGGGACAATTGCCAGGGAAAGCCACAGCCTGGGCAGGCAGAGGTGAGCTCCAGGAGCCAGGGACCAGCACAAACACGGAGGTGGCTCCATTTTAGGGAAGCTGTTAAACCATTACTGCAGCTGCATCAGGACCAACCGCCTACCAAAGCAACCAAACCCACTTCTGCAACACCCCTCACCTCCTACCCCACATCCCAAACCTTAGCACGGTGGCCACACTGACTGCCACCGGCACTGAGCTCTCGACACCACACATCGAGGTAGGACCTGCCCCAGCAAAGCCGTGTTCTCCAGGCTCAGTCCCCCACATGGCTACAGAGATCCGTGTCAGAAACAGCCAGAGCGTCTGCACTGAGTCGTGGCCTCAGCCAAAATCACTAAATGAGCCCCAGTATTGATAACTGAGTCCTAAAAAGATCAAGTGAGCTTCAAGCTGGGCTTGCATCAGCTCGAATGATGAAGTGGGGGGGGATGCAAATTAATTTGTTCTGTGACTCTCTCGGCAGGATCTGAAGCAGAGAGAAGAAGCCATCTGAGCCCAGAAAGCTGGAGACATCTCAGCAGCAGCCAGAGCAGACTCGATGCCACCCGAGGGGTGCCGTCACCCCGCTCACAGCCCCGTTTTCTGTAGGTTAAGGAGGAGCCGGGAGGCCACAGCAACTCCCCGGAGCAGCCTTCGACCATCACTTGCACAAGTCCCGCAGCAGCAGCCCCGCTGCCGGGGGGCTCTGCGAGCGCAGCCCCCGCGGACCCCGACCCTGCCGCCACCGGAGTCCCCGCGGAGACCCCGACCGGGAGGCTGCGGAGGGACGGGATGCCGGGGCTGGGAGGGAGGGAAGCAGGGATGCAGGGATTCAGGGAAGTAGGGATGCAGGGATTCAGGGAAGTAGGGATGCAGGGATTCAGGGATGCCCGCCCGGTCCTGACCCCGGGAACTTCGGGGACGCTATAACCGACCCCGCACCCGACTGACCCCGCGCCCCGGGCTGCCGGCCCCCTCCCCGCAGCACCCCCGGGCCCCGCACCTTGAAGGCGAGGTCGTAGAACTCTCCGCTGCTGCTCAGCGAGGGCCGCCCGGCCACCGCGCCGCCGTTGCGGGGCAGCTCGGGGGCGGTGGCGGAGCTGCCCCGGGGCGCGGCGGCGGCGGCCCGGGCGGTGCCCTGTGCCGGGGGCAGCGCGGCCGAGGGCGCGGCACCGCCGCCTTTTCCCCGAGCCGCCTTCTTGCGCGACATCGCGGGCCGGGGCCGCGGCCGCGCCGGGCGAGGGGGCGCGGGAGCCGCCGCCGCCCGGCCCCGCCCCCCGCGCCACTCCGCCAATGGCAGCGCCGAGCGGCCGCCGGGAGGGCGTGGTCTGAGAGCTGGCCACGCCCCTCCCGCGCCCCGCAGCGCCGGGCTCGGGGATCGGGAGGTACCGGGGGTACCGGGGGATCGGGGAACCGGGAACAGGGGATCGACGGGGAACCGGGGGCTGGGATTGGGGTGCGTGGGCTCTGCGGGAGCGAATGGAGCCGCAAAGGTTGGGGTCACAGGCACCGGGGATGCCCGCACGCCGGGGAGCAGCGTGGAGCCCCCCACGCCGCCTCCGCACGCTCCATCCCTGGTGCGGCTCCCCAGCGCGGCTTGGGGTCCGTCCCGTAGCGGGTCCCACCCTGCTCGGGTTTGCCACAGTGCGGGGCGGCCACGCGACGCGGACACGGACCCCCTGCTGCTGGCAGCATCCCTCGAGGAACGCGGTGTGAGGGGGTCGTGGAGCAAGGTCAAGGGCACTGTGTGGACACGGCGTGGGCTGCGGGGCACGGGGACGGTAGCCCAGGTTCCCCCGGTCTGTCTCAGCAACTAGTTTCAACGAGCAACACTTGGCATTTCTCTCTGCTCACAAATGTCACCCGAGGCGCTGGCGGGTCTCTCAGCCGGAATAAATGTCTTCAGCTCTGTGACAGATCCCAGTAGTGCAGCCTCGGCCTGGCTGGGAAGGGGGGCTTCAACAGGCTCAGCAGAGCAGGATTGGGAAATAAATCGCTGTGGTGAGAAGCCAGGCAGGCAAACGGTGAGGATGGAATAGGGGACAGCACTGGCATGGGGAGGTGACAGCGGGATCAGCATCCCAGCAAGCCTGGGGGCAGCGCTGGAGCTCAGGTGACAGCCCTGAGGATGCTGAGGGGTCATTCTCACTGTGGCCAGAGATGAGATTTTTCCCTCTGGGAGCATTTAAAATCTATAGATAATCCCTTTTCGAGGGTTCTGAAGCACCCCAGGGGAGGAGCAGGAGCAGGCAGCAGGGCTCTGATGGATTTGGCCATGGACAAGGGAGGTGGGCCAGGAGCTTCCATGCGTGGCTCCTGGGTGAGGTCCCCTTCTCCCACCCTGAGTCTCAGGCATGGCCACGGCTGTCACAGGCTCCAGGGAATGCTGAGGAGCTCTGTGTCTGCAGCACTCCTCTGACACAGCTGAGGCTGAAGGAAAAGCTGTCAGGGTGGAGCCTCACCTTCCCACTTCCCTTCATGTGCTCTTGATCCCAACGATCTAGCTGGGAGACAGAAGACCTGCCTGGCAGAGCAGACTGGATGCCAGGGTTTTGCTCTATAATCTGATTTTCTGGGACAGCTGCAGTCAATAGAGGCTGAGGCCTCGGAGCAAAGTGCAATGCTGGAACCGTCTATGGGGCTGCAGGTTTTAACCAGCCCCTGTGCTGTGGCCATGCTGCAGCTTTTCCCAGTGGTATCTGCCCGAAGGAAGGGAGTACCCAGCCCTGGCATCTCTGTGTGCCTTCAGGGCACGCCCTCACAGGCTGTCTTGCTGCTGCACAAGGATTTTCCCCTCTCCCATCTCCAGTTGATGACGATGGAAATCTCCATCAACAGCTCGGGAGCAAACAAAGCCAGCTGCTTATCGTGGCCGCATCAGGGCAACGCCGGAGGAGATGGCCCCTTATCAGCAGCCAGCAGCCGGCAAGCAGGCCTGGAAAATTCTGCCTGTACCAAAGGTCGTGTGCTCCAGTGGCTGCAGCAGGGCTGATCCCCACGGCCCCTGGGCCCCCAAAATCAGAGCTCAGAGTGGCAAGAGGCATCTCCAGCAAGTTTCTCTCCTGTAGGAAAGGCGTGTGCAGAGACACAGCCTGCTCAGAATCGCAGTCACGCCTGGAGATGTTGCTCCTCATATAGTTACAGGAACTAATCAGATAACGGCAGCTGAACTAAGGGGGATATATTTGCTAAAAATAGCTTAATGGAACAACAGACGCCTGGAGATGCGGCGTGCCTGGGGGAAGCAGGGCTGGCAGGGCTCTGAGCGGGGCTGGCCGTGCCAGTGGCTGCCTGGTGCTCACAGCCATCTACGTATTTGTAAATTTGTTTTTAAGGGTAGAAAATCAGCTCGTCCACACCAGGTGGTCAAGGTAAGAGGGCCGCTGTGCTGCTGTGTGGGGGTCTGTGAATGCAGGCACAGACAGGCAGCTGGTGCCACCAGTGCCACCTGTGCCAGCGGCCATGGGGACAGCACCTGCCCTTGGCTCAGCCACCCCCGCTGGGGGACAGAGCTCCACACAGGGCTGGAGACACGATGAGCCCGCCTGGGGCCGAGCACCGCGCTCTGCCCAGCTGCTCTGCACAAACACTCTGCTTCGGGGGTTGAAATCTGGCTGTTTTCTTTGGCGCGGGGCCTCCCAGGGTTCTGTGTGCCAGAAGTTCCGCGCCACGCTCAGAGCCAAGCGAGATATTTCGGTGCGAGGCCATCTCTCCCTCCTCCTGCCGGCCCAGGTGGTTCCACTGCTCGTGCTGCAGCTGCCCCCACGCTCCCTCAGCTGCTCCAGCCCCTGCTCCTGGTCAGGATGGAGCCATTCCTCTCCAGGCAGTCCAGGAGCACGCCGAGCCCGCTCTCCTCCTGGCCCCAGCTCCTGGTGCCAGCTCGGATGGAGCAGAGCAGTCTCTCCAGCAGGCAGGCTGCAAGGACGAGCTATTCCCATCAGACACCATGTCAGCTGCGCCAGCTTGGAAGATATTCATCTTCCTTGCCTGGTGGCTGCAAGAAAGATGGTGCAGGCTCTTTCCACGTGCTCCACGTTGTGCCTCTGCTGTCACGTACTGCAGTGCCACCAGCCAGAGGTCAGGGAGCTTCTCTGACCCCCTGTGCTGGGCAGTGGTGAGGCTTAACCTTGAATCCTGGGGTTGGTTTTGGGCCCCTCACAAAAAGAAAGACACTGAGGCACTGAGGGGTGGGAGCGTGTCCAGAGAATGGAACAGAGTTGGGGAAGGGGCTGGAGCAGCAGGAACGGCTGAGGGAGCTGGGAAAGGGAGAAAAGGAGGCTCAGGGGGGACCTTCTGGCTCTGCAGCTCCCTGACAGGAGGGGGGAGCCAGGGTGGGTCGGGCTCTGCTCCCAGGGAACAGGGACAGGAGGAGAGGGAACGGCCTCCAGTTGTGCCAGGGGAGGGTCAGGTTGGATATTGGGAAAATTTCTTCACAGAAAGGACTGTCCAGCCCTGGCACAGCTGCCCAGGGCAGGGGTGAAGTCCCCATCCCTGGAGGGGTTTCAAAGCCCTGTGGATGTGGCAGCTTGGGGCCAGCTGGGTTAGTGGTGGCCTTGGCAGTGCTGGGGGATGGTTGGACTCAATGATCTTGGGGGGATTTTCCAACCCAAACAATTCTGTGACTCTCCTAATCGCATGTAACTCTGACAGCTCTTCCTGCTCTCTGTTCAGCTCCAGGTCCTCTGCCAAGGGCACACACAGCTCTGGCTCCAGAGTGGCTGAAGAAGAAGGGCCTGAGGGCAGTGGGCATCACCTGGATGGGAGGTGCAGGAGGGCAGCTGGGGACAAAGGTGACACCAAGCTCACAGGGCTGACTCAAGAATGCAGAGATCATGATTTCATGTTGCAGATGAGCAGACACCCATCAGAGATGTCAGACAGAGGGGACAGCTCTGCTGGAGCCAGCAGCTCCCCATGGAGCAGAGCCACGGAGGCAGGGAAGGGTGCACAGGGCACGGGACACGGATTGGAGCTGGACCCCAGCACCCTGCCAGGCACAGCAGGAGAGGTCTCTGCCACCTTGGGAAGGGCCCAGCCCACGCAGCGCTGAGCAGGCACCGTTCCCTCCCTCGCCAGTTATTGTTCTTCCCTCCCCATCGCTCGCTTACCTCCCAACACTTCAATCTCATCGCCTTTGTCAGTGTCGCTGCCTTTTAATTGAAATTCCTCAGACATCTCCTCATCAGCACAGCCCATCAACTAGTTTTGTGTGGGAAGTCATTGTTTTCCCTCTGCAGCTGGGAAAGTTAAATTCCAGCGTTTTGCTGGGAGACTGCTTTTGTCTCTTCCCTTTCTTACATTGCCAAGCCCAATCTTATATTGCAACCTCCTTCCTTTGTCTGGATATTTCATTTTCCATCTCTCCTCCACGAAGTCCCTCTGGTTCCACCTCAGGCTCCTCCACTTCTATGGTCCATCCTTAGTGGCAGCTCCCACCTGCGGCTCCCTCCAGCCTCTCATTGCCAGTGTTTTCCTGCAAAGCACCTGGGAGGTTTGGAGAGCCCAGCCTGTTACTAAGTCTTTGTTTCTTGGTGCTCAAATCCATGATAGCTCCACACAAGGGTTTGGACACCACAGAGCTGGGCAGGTACTGAGGTCTCAGCATGTGCAGCCCAGGGGCAGAGCTTGAGCACTCCTTCCCCCATCAAACTGCCCCCATTAGCCCATTCTTCAAAGGGCAAAGCCAGGTGAAGAAACCACCAGCACTCACAGCCTTGGCAGTGTTTGAGAGGAGGATCCACGCTGGCAACAAAGCCAGGGCCAAGACACCACTTCCATGGGCAGCAGGAGGGTGGGATGGGGGGTCTGTCCCCAGTGCCAAGCCAAGGGGGCTCGATCCCCTCCTCCAGAGCAGGGCAAGAGTCCTTTGCTGTAACACTGGCTGTCCTGGGCTCAAGCTGGTAAATGAGACACAGGGCACAGCTTCCCCCTCTGCCCTGCTCCGGGAATGGCACCCTGGGATTACCCATGGCATGGCACAGCACTGGGAAGTGGCAGCAATGCCCAGGGCTGAGCGGGACACAGTGCAGCTGCTGACACTGTAAAATACAATGAACCCCAGCAAACACCCCTTGCACCCGAAGGCTTTTGCTCCCTGCTGGTCAGTCCCACATCCCACTGGAACATGGGACCTTGGCATGTCCTCCAGCACTGGCACATCCCCACGGGCATCCTGAGGGAACCATGGTCCTGCCCTGGGCCCCCACCATC